GTTACCGGACCATTTTGCACTAGCAAAAGAAAAGAAACAAATTGACTTTGAAAACAGGGGGATGGTTTTTCCGGCAATAGGCCGCGTGCACACAGAGAACATCAGTGAGCAGTGAGTAAAGGAAAGAAGAACAAATATCCCAATCCCACCCCATTCTCCCGCCAAGGCTTCTTACCTGTTTCAGGTGCATCTGACAACAGAGGTAGAGGTGGGGGAGGAGGGGGCAAGGGTCCAGAGGCAGCAGCCCCCGTTACTGGTCCCACTGCTACTTCCGAGCCCGTGGACAATGTGCCGGAAGCCACAACTGGCAGTATGGCGATGTCCCCATCCCCTTTCTTCTGAATTTTAATGGTCCCTTGTTTTTCCAGTTCATGAATCCTTTTTTCCAGGGTAGACTGTCTTTGAATGGCTTCTTCTTTTTCCTTGACCATTTTCCTTAAGGTGTGAACCTGGGTATTTGCATCTTTGTAGATTTCCTGCAAAAGAGTCCACGGTCAAGAGTTTGCCTTCACAGGACATACTTGCCTCTCACCACCAGATTGGCAAACTGAGGAAAAAGAAAATAGCCAAAAGGAAAAAAAAGAAAGAAAAGAAAAAGGATACTCGTATAGAGGAATTCTATGGAACTCAGCCAGAACCTATAAAGTCCCATTCATTATCGTTTGCTCACTGGCAATGCATGCAATATATGTTAGCAATTCTTATTGCTAATGTGGTTCTTTCAGTTAATTAAGGCTCGACTTTCCCTGCAGTGGGGAGAGGCACCGAGCAGAGATGACCCAGACATGGAATTTGGAGCTGGCTTTGGGATATCCAGTGGGTATTCCGGTGGTCTAGGATGTTTTCCTTTCACTTACTTTAAAATTCATTTTAACTCTGGATACATCAGCTAGCAGTAGCCAAAGGGGCCCTACATTAGCCTTGGACGGAAGTCAGAGTGGATTAAAAATCTGCAAGATGTGGGATAACCGCTGAAGAGTGCCCAGGGGCTGGCTGGCCCTGAACGGGTTTCCCCAGCCTTCACAATGCCCCCGGGCCAAGCGCAGGGCAGCCATGGCTGCAACCTTCTCCGTCCGGGAATACAGTTAACAAAACGGGCCAATGCTTCCCTCCACTGATCACTTATTTCTGTCTAGGTTTTTAGCAGAAAACAAAGAAGTTACCATTTCAATTCAAAGGCTGTCCCGGTTCCTTTTACTGGGGCTCTCAGAGGCCCGCGAGAGGACTTTATGGCACTGACTTGCTGGGCCTTGTACACGGGACCTCTCACCACAAACCTCCAGCAGGCAGGGAGACATTCTTCACACCCCGTCTATGATTAATAATCTGAGAGTCTGCCCTTGAATTGAGTCCATATGCTACAACTCTGTCTCGATGGTGTGCCAGAAAGTAAGTTTCCTAGAGTTAACTCTAGGACATGTCAGACGATCAAGCAACACACACAGACACGATAACCATCGCATAAAACGTGCCATTTCATTAACGGTGGTGCAAAGGCAAGCCATTTGCCTGAACGCCCTCCAGGCATTTCGGTGGTTTTATGTTCCCTATGATTCTAAACACACGGATGGGGCTCCATAAATACCTGACACGGAAGGTAAAACAATGCCAGCGCCAAATAAAACAGCTGTGCTTATCTGATAGTAACATGGATTGGTTTTGCTTTGCCTTTTAGATGGACTTGTAGTGCTGTCAACTTTCTATTTTGTTTTTTGGTGAATGCCATTAGGTCTCGCCTGGGTTAGGATTTCACCATTTCCATGGCAACCACCAAATCTGGTTTCACGTAGAAGCGAAGCAAAGTAACAAAGAAATGCAAGTTCTATTGACAATAAATAAATGGCATGAATTAAATCCATGCTGTATTTTTATTTCTAACCGAATGAGGGGTCTACATAATCAACTCCGACTCGTCCAGATGGGAAAATATTGTTGCTCACAAAACCTGTGATGAGGACATACTGCCCGGAGTGTTTGATTGCACACGCACGTGTAAAGCCCACAACTGTGCACTTTTCTTGGAGGACCACCTCGGAAACAGTCCCAACAGATAGGCTGCCCCAGTGCATTCCTCTGACATGCAGGCTCGGCCAGACGAAGGCCGGAGCGCCCTCCCCACGGTGCCTAGGGGGCCGCTGTCACCGTCACACTCACTCGAACCACATCCAGCTCCTTGTTCCTCTGCATGAGCTGCTTCTCCAGTTCCACGATCTTGGACATGGCTTCGTTCTCCGTGTCTTGCAGCTTTTCAGACAACTGTAAGGTTTGAAAGGGAGGCCCTGTCACAACCCAGGGTCACCCTGATCAGCGCCTGGGGCCTCGGCAAGTGGAGTCGCTCAGAGGCCGGAAGGGGCCCGTCACAGCCCTGTGTGTGCTCCACAGGCTGTTTTACGGAAATGTTAATATTTATGCTATGGCTCTGAATACAATTTGTTTTTAATGGGAATTAATTGATATACAGTCCTTAATAAAACCCATACGTTAGTTCTTTCATGTCTCTCTCCATTTCTGCGGGGGCTGGAGAAGAACGGGTGAGGGAGAAGGAAGCCCACCTTTCCCCCCGAGAAAAGGTTTTGAAAACTGTTGATCCAGAAAACTCGACTGTGTTGTTACAGGTAACCAGTTGAAAAAATACGACTGGTTGTTTGGATCCAAACTACCCAAATACTAAAAGCCATTTTGGAGGGGCCGTTCAAGCACACAGGTGGCCTGCTACAAAAGCGGGTGACACAGGTCTGGTTGTGCAATGCTGGCAGAGGCTGCCAGAGCAGGCCCGGGTGAGCCATGGCTCGGACAGTTACCCTCCACGCGAGGCCCTAGAACTGAGCGGCTTCGCACTTCTCACCTCTCCCTGAAAGCGATCACAAGTGAAGAAACTCAGGGAGACAGGGGGAAGGGACGAGGAGAGACTTACATCAATCAGGTCAGAATACCATGCAAATCTCTTAAGGGAAGAAACACTAAGCTCTTCCCAAGCAGGCGTCTGCCAGGCACAGCTGCACTGGGAGTTCTGGCAGCTTGGCTTAACCACAGCCACGAAGATGCACATGTGCAGAGTGACGGGAAAAGGTGAAGGACATTAAACACAGGTAATACTAGGAACTAAGAAAATGTGGAGGAAAAGAAATGCTCAAAGGGGAAAATAAATGTCCCTCCAAAAGAGATAATTCATTTCACAATCAAGGACACTGTCAGGATCCAGCAGAAGAATCAAGTCCTCACAAGGCCTGGGTTTTTAAGCAGCACCGTTTTTCCATTCATTCTTGCAGTATTACAGTATCAGCTGCGCGGATGAACAAATGAGTAACTTCTCATCCTCCTGGATCCACAGCAAGAAAACCCCCTGAATGGAAAACGAGTCCCAGCCCCGAGACAGTGCAAACATCACACTGAGAGGACATGCTGCCTGAAAGAGCCGGCCATGTGGAAAGCGCACCGATTCCCCTGAAAAGGCTCATTGTTGAAGCGAATCTATTTAGAACCTGAGTAGCCACAAGGCAGGAATGAGCAGACAGGCATCAGGAAGCCACCAGATGCCCTGTCCACGGGCTTGTGTGGGCACATTTGGTAGAAGGTGACTCATATTCAGAAGAAACTTATTCACCTCGGACCAAGTGCACATATTTGAGTGCAATTCCCTCTGGGTCAGTGGTCGGCAAACTGCGGCTCACGAGCCACATGCGGCTCTTTGGCCCCTTGAGTGTGGCTCTTCCACAAAACACCACGAAGTTTCAATCGCACTGTACGTGCGCGCCCGCACGTGGTATTTTGTGGAAGAGCCACACTCAAGGGGCCAAAGAGCCGCATGTGGCTCATGAGCCACAGTTTGCCGACCATGGCCCTAGGTAATGCTTATCACGTAGCTCTCCTGTGCCGACAGCAACGTGGCCAGGGAAATGTGGGCTCGACAGACACTGGGCAGGTGCGTGAAGTCAAGGCCACCATCCCACGGAGTGTGAAGTAACGCACCTGCCTTCCTGAGGGAACCCTGAGTGGCCTCTGACAGCTCTCTAGCTCATCCCTACACTCCACATACTGTCATTCACAGCCACCAAAGCGGGCACTTATTCTGCTCTGCACCCCTTGAAACACAGGCATGTTTTCCTTTTCTGGGAAGTAGTTACATGAGAGAGGTTTTCTTCCAGCTCCTCCACCCTTTCCAAGGCTGCGTTCTTGGTCTCGGCGTCTTCCAGCAGAGCTCCCACATCAAACACATTGTCCAGGTACGCCTGGATCTGCACCTGCAGCTTGTCACTCTCCGTGTGTTTCAGCTTCTAAACATCAAATGGCAAGAGCAGGGGGGTTAGCCTATCTGTGGAAACAGCACATAACTGCCCAACAGCCTATGTAGTTTTGTTTGTTCCACATAGTCTAGTCCAGCGGTCCTCAACCTGTGGGTCACAACCCCTTTGGCGGTCGAATGACCCTTTCACAGGGGTCACCTAAGACCATCCTGCATATCAGATATTTACATTACGATTCATAACAGTAGCAACATTACAGTTATGAAGTAGCAATGAAAATAATTTTATGGTTGGGTCACAACATGAGGAACTGTATTTAAAGGGCCAGAAGGTTGAGAACCACTGGTCTAGTCTTTTCCAAGAGAGGGTTTGATATATCCTCCTCCTTAAGAGAATTTAAGGAGTGATCATCCCAGAGGGTACCATCAGCTTGCTTTCTGGGGAAGACCCTCTTCCAAATATACACTCATTTCCCTAATCCTTCCTGTGGGTATATTCCCCATGTGGGTATATTCCAACCTAACACCTTTTGATGCAGGTGAAGTCAGGAAAATAGAAAAATTAAAACAACTTTGAATGGGAACAAGAGTCACGGGTAACATAAAACCTGAGAGCTATCTGTGTAGGAGGAGAGATTGGAGTGGGTGCTAACTGGCCCAGGTAATGATGTAGTTCTAATTGGAGGTAGAGCTGGGGGACAGTGGGGCAGGCACGGATAGAATATATTGGCCTGGGGGCTTATTTTAACATGAATTGCTAGAGCCCACCCTCCATGATTCCTAGTACTTCCCTACAACACTGCCCCCCACGAGGAGCTCAGGGCTCCCCGAAGCACAGGTCAGGAAGCTCCCCCCACCCCCATTCTCTGCATCCCAGGCCAGGCATTCCAGAGGAAGTGAGCCAGCTCTACGGTGAAGTCAGAGGTCAAGTAAACCAGGACTCTTCCTTAGAAGTAACGTAAGTCACGGCTTTCCCCGAGGAATACATGAGTAGCTGGCACATGGATGGTGTCAATAAACATGTACTGAGCAAATCAATGGCTCCTTATCAAGGCTGGTTTCTGTAAACAAATGAAGCATTTGTACACTATATGCTTATCATATTCTTCTATTCATCAGGGTCCAGAACCCACAGAGCAGGAAGTCAGAGAAACAGAGTGTTTTGAAAAAGTCTTAAAGTTTTCCGAGGAACCCTACTCTGCATAAACCCCCAGGAAAGCAGACTTTCTCCCGGTCTGATCTGGCGTTCTACCCCTGAGCTTGCTGGAAGAGAGTACATTCCATTTTGGTTTGGGAGTCAGAACTGAAAAAGATTTCTAAATAAGGGTGGAGTCTAGAAAAGACACTGGAGAAGTTTAGCAGGATTTTTCTCAGATTTCACAATGGACAACAGGTGCTAACACGTTACTATCTGCCACTGTAACCCGGAGCCTGAAGTGAGCTCTGCGCGGCCATCACAAAACTGAACCTGGAGCCGCTTTACGGAGCTCCACACCCAAACTGAGCCTGGAGCCACGTTACGGAGCTCTACACCCAAACTGAGCCCGGAGCCGCGTCACGGAGCTCTACACCCCAATTCTGTTCTAATGCTGCTCGTCTTAGAGCACGAAGGGAAAGACAGACAAACCACGACCTCAAAATACCTTTCAGTACATTATCCTATCCAAGATATTAGTGGATCTTTAAATGGGAAAAGAATTCAAAGCAATTCTTCAGTAGAAACCGATCATGCCTTAGACAACATTAGGCCAGTCTCTCCTGGTCTGATAAGCAAAGCCATAAGCTGCAGAATAACCAATTCTGTGATTCTGCCTCGCAATAAACTGAGGGTACCGATGTGTGATCCCCTAGCTCCACCCCTAAGGACGATGGGCAGCTGAGCTCCAGGGGAAGGGCTTCTATCTTCTTCATAACTAGAAACAGCCTTGAAATTGAGGCCAACCATTCTTGCCCAACCACTAGTGACCTTCCAAGTTCAAATGGACCATTCTTATCTAGAATGGAAAGCGTAACTGCCAAGGAGTCCAAGGAAAGGGTACATTCTGTGCACACGGAGCTACTCAAGTCCATTTACAATTTTCACATCAACTTTCTGAAGGGCTTCAGGGAACTGGCTGAGCATTTCTGCAAGGGAGCACGAGAAAGAGAAACTTTAGGCCCTCTTGTCCCAAGAACTAAAAGTAGAACTTCTAAGGTCACATTTTCAGCAGAATTTAACAACTACACAAGGAAGTCTCTGGTGTTCATTTCTCTCTTTTTTTTGTATGTTCTAAGGAATTTTTCATCACTCGACAGCAGTCTGGGTTTGACCTTCCCTGCATAATCAGGTTCCCCAGAGTAACCAAGAATGTGAATTTCCCAACAGCCCGCCCGAATGAGGGGTGCAGTGAGACTTGACCCTAGAGCTCCAAAGCAGAGGGAAGCTGCAGCAAGGCTGTATATGAGAGGTTCTCTGCCTCCGGTACTAAAAGCTGCTGGCGAAGACAGCGGAGGCCCAGGAAGCCTGCAAGAACCCAGCTTCTCTGGCAGACTGCACCCCTCAGGTGGCTCCCTCTTACCTAGCAGTACAGTAAGAAAGTGGACGGCATAGGGCCACAAGTGTTCTTTCGCCCCTGCGGAAGTGAATCTTTGAGGGTAGGCAATAAATCAGGTCTTATATGAGAGCCGAAGCTTTCAACTCTACTTACATCCAAGTATTCGTCCAGGCCTAACTTGGTAAATTCATACTGGAGATGAACTCTGAAATTCATATCTTCTACTGAATGGACTACAATATTAATAAACTGCATAGAGGCCACCTGAAATGAAATTGCCAACAGGTTAGATGGGTTCCAAGCTTGTTTTCTCATTTTAATCTTAAAATATGCTTTCAATTGCACACATCAGAGCTCACTTACCAATTTCCTTTTCATCCATTTAATTGGGTTTTTAAAAAATACTTCATATTTTTAAAAAATTCAAAAGTCATATAGGTATCATAATTACATATCACTTCACATCCACTAGGCTGGCTATAATCACAAGGAAAGATAATAACAGGTGTTGACAAGGATGCGGAAAAGGTAAAACCCTTATCCCCTGCTGGGGGTGGGGCTGTAAAATAGTGTAGCCGCTGTGGAAAGCGCTGCAGTGCCTAAAACTGTTAAACACAGAGTTTTCATGTTACCCAGCAATCTCATTCTTAGGTAAACATACCCAAGAGAAAAGGAAATACACATCCACATAAAAACTTCTACACAAATGTTCATAGTAATTAAAATGTGTGTGTGTGTGTGTGTGTGTGTGTGTAACAATGTCAATCAACTGATGGATTAAAAAAAATGTGATATGTCCATACAATGGGATATTATGCAACAATAAAAAGGAATGAGGTACTGAAATGTGCTACAACATGGGTGAACTTGAACTCATTATAAGTGAAAAAAGTCACAGAAGATGACATGTATTATAATTCCATTCATATGAAGTATCCAGAATAGGCAACTCTACAGAGACAGGAAGTAGGTTAGTAGCTGCCTAGGACTGGGCGTGGGGAAAATGGGGAGTGACTGCGGATGGGTGTGAGGATTCTTTTGGGGGTGACAAAATTTTCTAAATTAGACTGCAGTGATGGCTGCACAGCCCCACAAATACACTAAAAATGTGTTGACTTGTACAGTTTAGATGGGTAAATTGGATCGTATGTTAATTATATCTCAGTAAAGGCATTTTAAAAAAGTCTTATAGGCATACAGAATAAACAATGAACGTTATTACAGATATATTGTAGAAAATGTGAAAATTATTACAAAGAAAAGCATTCAAATCTCCTATAATCACAGGTGATTTATTATCACCTCTGAAACCTCACGGTGGGCCCCATCATCCCAACAGGATCATCACAGGATCCCTGACCCATCTTTCCACTTTGAACAATGAACCGGGTTCCATTCCAGAGAAGCCTTGGATTCACTGCTCTCTACCCGCAACACCATCAGTGGCCCTGAGACCAGCCACAGAGAAAAACCAGTCCCCGGTTTGGTAAAAGCAGCACGGAGTTCAACAGACCTATTTTGCTTCTAATAGTGACAATCAGTTTATTTATGGCGGAAATATCCCACTAATGCTTTCCCTCGCGCAAGGAGGTAAGATGATTATGGGAGCCAGATCCACGTTTTCTCCGAACACCACCTCACTCTTCCTCTCTCTCCAAAACCTCATTTTCTTTCTCTTTTCAAAATTATTTTTTGTCGCGTTAGATTCTTGAGTATTTTATTCATCAGATATCCTTCCGCTCTAGGTGACAAGGAGACACTATGGCAGTTAATTAACAAGTGACTTCAGGGGCTGTGGTTAAATGAGCTAAAGAAGATTTGGTCAGTTTTTTGTTTTCTTTTGGGAGGTTATACCTCTTAATTGCAGTTTATGAAAAGCCTCATTTTCTGGAGGAAAAATACGGTTGGCTTTTGGCATCTTTCCACTTCTCTCCTGAAAGCAGGTCTAAGTGATCTGTTGAGTTTTACGACATGCCTGAGAGGTAACTACTTGCTAGGTGATGCATGCATCAAGCGCATAGGATCCATATACCAGCACTTCTATATAAGGTTCCTCAATGCATGTGCATGTGAATAAATGTGCTCACAGGAAACATGCTTTCCTTAGTAAACAGTGCAGGTGTTTTAAAGGACTTATAGTCATTCTAGCAGAAACTCGATGGCAGAGAGATCCTGTACGCACATCCGATAAGTGAGCGAGGTGGGCCACATGGAACAGAACAGGGAATGGTGTGGACTGAGATGAACTGGAAAGTACACTTTAGCCACAAGGAATAGGCGTGAGTTGGCTTTAGCAGCTGATATTCTGCATGAATGGGGGTCTCGTGTTGTCGGAAATTTTTAGCTTAAGAAAATCAGAAATCGGTATTTTTGTGCATAATTTCCAAATTCTTTTATGAAAGGACATCACTGGGAGACTAACTCACAAGCCTGCAGGTTGCCTCCAGCCTGGGAGCCTCCAGTTTGCAACCCCAGCTTAAAGGGACAGGTGAGTTCCCCGCTTGAGGCCAAGGAAAGAAACTGGTCAGGAGAGCCAGGCACCACTTCTTCACGTTTATCACCTGTGCCAACAGCCATAAACACGCCCAAAAAACCCTACTAACAAGAATTAAAAAGTCAATGTAAAGTATTCCTTGTTTCACATCCACTTTTTACCTTTTTAAAAAGCATATGTGTGTGTGTGTGTGTGTGTGTGTGTGTGTGTGTGTATCTTTGCCTTATGGAACAGAAAACCTCTATAAAAGAGTCCATCTTTCTCACTGATTTTGGAAGGGGCTGAGGGTCATGATGTCTATTAAATTTAAGGACCCAGAAAAAAGTGTTTACATAAAAGGGTTAGGAATCTGTAAAGCTATGCTCCATATTTTACAGTCACTGAAGCAATTCCAGGGAAAGCCCTGCCTGGTGTCCGAGCACAGGCTCAGAAGACTCGACAGTGTCGGACCTGACTGGGCTGTCTGCTCCGGCCTGGCAGTGACCTGGGAGATGACCCAGGTGAGGACCCCCAGGGCTCAGAAGCTCCCAGGTGAGGACCCCCTGCATTAGGCCTGCCAATCTGGGTGCCCTCGAGAGGAAGCTGTCTGAGGAAATTCTCTAGAGTGGAGTCCACCTTCAGTCCAGGATTGAGCCTCAGGCATATGGATTCAGAAGTGCTCAAACTCCTTTTAGTTCTGGAAGATGACAGCCTGCTGAGCCCCATGCTGTTGCACATTATCTCCCTGTAAGTGGATCTGCAGTGTCGGTATGCCTTCATACAATTACTAGAGCAGGGAAGAGATCAGGAGAGGGGTGGGGGGAGAGTAGGGAGAACCACTGCCATACATTAATGTAGGGGACATATACAGTCAATTCCACAAACCAAAGCACTTTAGTCTTGGGAATATTGTCTAGAGAAGGGCACTGGCTCAGGTGTGCAGAAGGCAAAACGGTCCGATTCATGCTTCTGCCCTAAGGATTCCCATGCGGCACCATTGACAGTAACATTACTGACTGTAGCATATGCACCATGCACGTTACCTTCCTTTTCCCAAGTGCATGCTTCATGCTTTATTTGCTGTAAATAACCAGTTCTTTTGGCTTGTACTATAGAGTGCACAGAAGGAATAAAACTGGAAATAAATGCCATCGAGGGAAAATAGAGATTAAGAGGGACAGTCTAGATTGGATCTGTAGCATATTATGCTCAATTTCCTGTCCTTTGTAATATACTCATACATATGGATATATACTACATATAAATATCAATGGATTTAGGGAAAAGTGCTGAAATTGAGTTTGTTTTCTTGAATGCAGTACAAAAATAGCTCACCATAAAATCGATGTTATTGTCTTCATTCCTGAAATGTTCCATCAACTTCTCAAAGCGCTGCTTTTCTCCACAAACCTGAAAACACACATTTTCATCGTGCATGTGAAATTCCAAACATAAGCAACCCCAATTTAGATGCAGAAAGTTTAGCATTAATAATCATTTCCAGAATGCCTGTTTTTTTCCTCTCTCACACTCTATTTACTTTTCTTCTGCGCTAGTTAACTCACAATAGCAACGTGAGCCAGGACCCGCACTGATCCTGGGTTTCCTTTGCAAGTTCTCCTGAGACTCTGAAGTCCCTATCAAGTGTGTTCTTTCCCGGGTTAGCTTTGCATGACCCACCAACTTTTTTAACCTGCATTCAGGATACCAGAATGTTGTTTATGGTAATTTAAAGAAATCACCAGGGTTCTCCTTTTTCCAGAAATACCAGGACCAGACATGCTAAGAGATCTTAAAAATTTTGTATTTAAATTCCTTAAAAAACAAATTCAAATTTTTGATATCATGTCTAAGCTAATTAAGTAATTTTGGTGCATTAGCTACAATACTGAGAAGTCGATGTTTCAATTCGTGGTCAAGGCACAGATTGAATCCCCAGGAGGCACTGATCGGTGTTTCTCTCATCCATGTTTCTCTCTCTCTCCCTTCCTATCTCTCTAAAATTAATAAAAACATTTTATTGATTATTGAAAAAATAAAGTCCTCATGGTTGATGGGCCAGCATTTCAGAAACAGTAGTTTATACAATATGAGACCAGTTCAGCAATTTTTAACAGGTGTGCTGCAAGAATTTTTAAAACATGCAATACCTAACTATTTAATCAGGGGTACTGGCCACTTTTCCCTTCAGTTGTCAAATAAAAATGGCAATAGCTAACAAAACAATAGCCATCTGTGTGAATGAATCTAATTGTACTCCCCACCCCCACCCCCGTTTTTTGTCAGATTAGCAAAAAAAATATTGTTTTGGTGTGCTGCAAAATTTTAGCAATTAGTTAATGTGTGCCATGAGATGAAAAAGGTTGAAAATTACTGGACTAGGTGATTAAATCCTGAGCCCTAACTACCAGTTGTAAACTGGAGAGCTGGATCATTAACTCTCCAATCCATTCAACCTCGAATTTAACAACACACATAAACTGAAACACAGTTACTATAACTGGGTAGCATAGGAAAGGAGCAGGGATTGGTCCACTGACCCTGCATAGCTACAAGGAACAAGGTAATTCCCACGTAATCAGGCATTGTGTCCAGAATTTTATAGGGCTGAGGAAAGCACATGTGGGCAGCAACAAAACACACTACTGGTAGCCTGTGGATAAAAGAGATGGCATCAAATCCAGAACAAGCAACGTTAGATCAATTTCATGCTGGGTAAAGATCCCCCAAATCATTACACTAGCCTGGTAGGCAGGACTGAAACAGACATTATGAAGCGCTTTGAATGTATATACATTTCTTTAGAAATCATTCATTCTGTCAACAGACAAATCCATGCTGAGAACATGTGTTTTGAAATAGAAATACCTTTAATCTTTACACACACACACAAATAGACGTAAATATTTTCCAATTTACAGCTGCTATGAATGTGATGAAAAGAAACCAAATGCACAAAACAACATTTGCCAACATAGATCCCAGCTTCAGGAAACCTTGATAGAAGGACCTGACTGACCACTCCCTGCGCCCGCTGTAAGAACTAGAAGGGCCCCTTCCTTCTGCTCCATCCAGCCCTGCCCATCAAGGTTAGACATCCTGCTCACTGAGCTGCTGCCAATCTCTGCTGATGGATTCAGGGTGGCGTCTCTGACACTGTGCCAGGGGAGCAGCAGACCTGAGGCCCCTCAGCCCTGCTGATGGAGAGGAAGCGTGCACACCAGATCCACATTTGTTCTATGCCCCTTGAGCAATCATTAAATAGGTGTATACTCTGATCGTGGGGGGAGGGAGGGAAGGACGGGGGATGGGAAGGCATGCTTGGGAAAAGGTTGGGAAAAGTCGTGTCCACATCAGAGGAAAGTCGTCATGGCTCAGAGATCACATCTGGAGCTCCCCCCACACATGGTGCAAACAGGACCAGCACGGCCGAACGTGCTGCTTCTCCCCTTGGAAACTAGCCTCGTTTTAGAAGTCGGTGAGGATGAAAGGAATGAGACCACTGATGGTCAGTTATTTCCAGAATCCGCACACTGGGGACCGTCTCAGGCCTTCAGCAAAAGGACGTCAGAGCCGGAGCATGTCTGCACGCACATTTACTGCATGTTCTAGTTTGCTGCACTTAATGTCCATCTGCCAACAAAGGCCAGACAATAGGTGATCTGAAAACTTTTAAGTGAAAAGAAAATTGTACTATGGCAACTAAAATCTGTCATTTCTTGACTTTTATAGTCACTGGTATTTCCCAGTCCCCCGCTAGCGTTGACACCAATCTCCTGTATCAATACGGGGTAGACACTGCAGGAGCTGGGGAGGCAGTGACTGTAAGCGATACGGCCACAGGGAGGCGGGGGCAGCAGACGGAAGAGGAGCTCCGCTGGGCACTGGGCCCCTCTGTCAGGAGTCAGACTTCTGCTCTAGCCAGGGCTACCAGAAATGAAGTCAACCAGCAGAAAAATAAAAGTAGAAGCCCTAGAGAAGCAGATACTCTACTGTAAAAATATGTCTACTGCTCTGAACTTAATTCCTCATTCATAAATCATTCATAGATTTCATTCTCATGAGAATGAGTTCACCCATCCTGCCTGATGAGCACTGTGTAACGCAGGGGAACGTCCAGCCCTCGGCCCGTATAAGGCCCACAAATCATTTGGTCTGGCCCTGCCAAGGCATTAGGGGTGAGTTAATTAAATGTTTGACCAAATAGAGCAGGCTGATTTTTAAGTTGGCAATTTTGTATGGTCCAAGAATGATGTTATAAATATCCAAATGGCCCTGGGCAGAAAAAAGGTTCCCGACTCCTGGTGTAAGTGACAATGTTCAGGCCTGGGACCCTGGAGCAGACCTCACTTGGCTGACACAGCCACCCGTGCCCCAAGCCCTGTGGGGTCCTAATACAGCTGGGCCTCTTTGCAGTTGAAGCTCTAACATTATGGGGTGAGGGGGAATGAGGGCAGAAATGGAACTACAGGGAGTATTAAACGGGGGACCATGAAACCTGGGTTATAAGTCACGGCTCTGCCACTGCCCCACAGTGATCTGGGGCAGTGGTCGGCAAACTGCGGCTCGCAAGCCACATGCGGCTCTTTGGCCCTGTGGCATGGGCCACAAAGTTTCAATCGCACTGTACATGCGTGCCCACACGTGGTCTTTTGTGGAAGAGCCACACTCAAGGAGCCAGTTTGCCGACCACTGATCTGGGGTAACTCAGGGAACCTCCCTGGATTTGGGTTTTACATCCATGAATCTGAGAGCCTGAGATCACACCTTTGGTTTTCATGGCCTGTTCTAGGAAGCCATTAGGGTCATAGAAGAATACGTTGGAAACTCCAAGAATGGGGGCTTGGCCGGGAGAGAAAAAGCACAAATGAGAAAGGTTCTCGGAACTTCTATCCTCACATATCCAGCTCTGCTTGGTTACATGAGCTTCCTGGTAAGATTTCTTTTGGAAAAAGAGTTTCATTGAAGGTTTCCATTGCTAATGAAAATTGGGGTGGCGGGGGGCGGGGGGGGGGGATCCTCTCACTCTATATCTTGAAGCTCTAAGCTTCTAATCTAGGCCAGGTGATACAACATGATATTCCCTAAATGACCGGCCTGGAAGCTAACAAACCAAATTTAGAGAGGTGCACTCGGCTAGGCGGGCCCTGAGCACCCCACATAAGGGCCAGAGCTCTAACTCAGGGCATGCGCTCACTGGTGCCCCAGGAGTAGTTAAATCCTGCCCCGTGCAGATAAGAGGGGCCATACCCAGGACGAGCAAGACACATTTTCACTTCAAAGCAGGACTGAAGCAAAAGCACAGCTTCTGCCAAAAAACAAGTCAACTCTGTTCTCCACCATCTGCGAAAGACATCTCCGAACACTGTCCCCCGAAGCATTTAAATAAATCTGGGCCCTGGACGCCCAAGGGGTGGCTGTTGAAAGGATCTCTGAAAGTGGGCAGAGGTTAGGGGGTGCTTTCCCTGAAGGCTACCAGCGGAGAAAAGATGGTTTTACGAAAGCCTGGTAATAAACGGAGCGATAGTGCTAGCCAGATGCTGAATGAAGGACAGACCGCCGGCCTTCGGCCACTTCTCCACTCCCCTCAAGGTCAGGGACTGTCTTTGGCTTCCCCCAGCATCAGCTCCCAGGACACCACACAGAGTCTGCAGCCAGCATGAGGCCCGACTCTCACGAGGAGACTATAAAATATGCTCCTGGGCAGTTATATAAAAATTAAAGGCCCCTTGCTTAAGTGTTTCCTTCTTGCCCTGTTGCCTGGCGCCTGCCTCAATGCCTCCTTTTTCTCTTTTCACAATAGGCCCCTGTGATCCGCAGGGCTCCCTGCAGGAAGGCTGGGGTAGAGGCAAGTCCATTATGACTGATTGGACTGCCTTTCTCGGGGGCTGCTGGGAATGAAAGTTCTGTTTTCCTTTCAGGGCCGCGTGAAGTAAACAGCTATTTCATAGGCCTGGGTGAAAGCACCTTTCACCTTCTCCCGAGAGCACCAGAGTCAGGGCTCTGATGCCTGATGGCCCGCCAGAAACCGCTTTCTGAGGGGCTCTGTAGCGGCTGGGGGCCTATTACCGCTTTCCCGAGAGGTGACCACCCACTCCAGACAATGACACCAACGGGCTGCCGTGACAGAGCCAACCTGCTGCTGGCTCTCCCGCCTCCCTGGGATGTGAAGGCGGAAATGTCCATCCAGCTGAAGCATTCTGAAGCGGAACACCCCGAACTCGCTCCCCTGAAATGAAGACTCACGAAAGCTAAACAACTGAACGCATTCTACAATCTATAATCCAAGCCCTCCTTCCTCATAAAATAATAAGGTATTCCTATCAATCTTGGACTGGTTATCTGATGATGAGCCAGAGGTTTCATCCAGATAATGCTAAACACCCTTTTGAAAACACCAGTCACTATTC